CCACCCTGAGCAAAACGTTAGTGGCTCACGGGGCAGCCATGAATGACCAATATCCACCGTGCCCCAGCCCCTGGGTCACCAGCTGAAAGACTGTCAGATAAAGTGAGGAATGGGTCGCATTACCTGGGGAGGGTAGCCTTGACAAATGGTCAAGACTCCTTGGCTCCAAAATCGTCATTCCTCTGCCTAATGCCCACCGTTACCACCCTCCCACTATTTGGCAAACTCATAGTCATCTGTTAAGACCCAGCCCCAGCACGTCTCCTCTGTGATGTCCGCCCTGACCTCTTCTCCCGAGGATCACCTCCATCTCATTTGTAACGGGGCCCGTGTGGTCTTCGTCTCTGTATCTCTAGATCCTGGCAAGGACCCGGATTAGGTCACGGATCCCATGACGTCATGCTGAATACACAGTGTCCCTCTCCGTGGGAGGCAAAGGTCTACGTTGGGGTGTCTGCACTTGGCTGTTCCCCCAGGATTTCCTCTCACCTTCCCCAGCCCATCTCAGCACTGCCCTCCGGGTTCCATCCTTTGCCAGGCAGGAGCACCTTCTCCACGGTCGGTCTTTACTTGTCTTCTCTTCCTTCCCAGGCTGGTCGTGGGCGCTCCATTGGAAACCAACGGCCACCAGAAGACGGGAGACGTGTACAAGTGTCCGGTGACCCACGGGAACTGCACCAAGCTCAACCTGGGTAACGTGAGCCGCTGGTCTCCCCACAGTGAGGCCAATCATCGTCTAGGGCGGGACAATCTTTAAAGCACATCCATGCCCATAGTCACACAGTCACGGCCACCCTGGTACCGCTGCCCCCCACTTTACAGATGAGCAAGCTGAGGCCAGAGAGAGGAAGAAACATTCCCAGAGCCATACAGCTTGCCAGGGGCCGGCTAGGATTCAAAGCAGGGCCCCTGGTGTTGCAGGCCATTCCTCTCTCTGACTCTTCCACGGCCCCTCAACACAAGGTTTGCACTCTTAGCAGGGGAAAAACATTTCCTGTCTTCTTTCCGATTTTGCAATAAGAATAGCCAGCATTCATATATCTTATATAATCTTCACCATGTGGCAGCCACTGCTTTAAGCACTTTTAGGAATTTTGACTCATTTAATCCCCTCGACAACCATACGAGATGGGGGGACCTGCCCAGGGTCACCTAGCTAATAAGCGGCAAGGCCAAGTTTCCACCCCAGGCAGTCCTCAGTAAGCAGCGCTGCCTTTCTGAAATGAAGGCTTTGTCCTCGCCGAAGAGCCTTTGTACGATTCGTGTGTGTATCCACACATGTGCATCCGTTAAAACACACACACTGATCCTGTAAAGCACGCCCACCTTGTCCTAAACGTTGGACAGTGGCTGGGCCATCACGTTGCTTTCAGAAGGGAGCAAAAATTCCATTTGGGCTGAGAAGCTGTATTTCCAACCCTCCCATAAAGGACTGGCCTTTCCCCGGGGCCAGGCCCCTTGGTCTCCCTGACTTCTAGGGAGGCGGCCTCTGCCCTACACGGCAGGGTGGGGCTCGCTGGGGAGGTGGAGGGAGGCAGTGTGGGCCTGGTGGGGGAGACAGCAGAGCTTCAAGAGATAAGCAGATGGATGAGAAGGTCTGCATCAAAGAGAAAGCCCCAGAACCCAGATCCCCAGGGTGGCCAGCTGGTCCCGTCACACGGTGCTGGAAGCTCCCGCTGGCCACATCTGCCTCAGCGCCGTGGGTGGGAAGTTCAAACCCCAGCACAGCCGGGGCCCAGACTTCAGTGAGGAAATAAGCTGGGGGAAGCAGGAGCTTGGCTGGTGGCTCGCAGAACCCAGTCATCACCACCCTGAAGGCACAGGCTTCCCAAACAAGCCAAGCTGGGTCCCTTCTTCCACTTGGACAGTTTCGTTGCATCGTGTCCACAGGGAGCACACGTGCTCTCTCTGAGCCTCTGTTTGCTCATGTGTAAGGTGAGGTCCCCCTTTTCTGAGCACATTTTATGTCCCAAGCACCTTGCTAGTTTCTGGGGATACAGCAGGGAACAAGAAGCCAAGAGCTCTGCTGGGAGGGAACAATAAGCAAGCGGACAAACGGGAAAGCAGTAGCAATAGGTAGGGATATGCTATAGGTAGGGAATTCATCCCTACCTATATGTGTGATATAACCTATACCTATAAATGCTGTGTGATAACCCAGGTTGCTGTGATAAGAGAGGCTGGGTGGGGAGGGGGTTCTACTTTATAGCAAGGCAGTCAGGGGAGACCTCTTTAAGCAGTAACATTTGAGCAAAGGTCTGATGGCGAGGAGTCAGGTGGAGCCAGAGCATCCCAGGCAGCAAGAGAACCAGTGCAAAGGCCCTGGAGCGGGAATGAGCTTACTCCGTTGGAAGACAGTAAGAGGGGCCAAGTATCTGGGGCAGAGGGAGGGAGGATGGGAGTGGGAGGGATGAGCACTGGGCTCAGGGCTGGGGCCACCGAGAGGGGCTCCTGGTCCAGGTGGGGACACAGACATGTGAACCCATCAACCCATTGCTTAGTTTTCTCCACTGCTCTGGCTTCCAGTGTGGATCCTGTTTCCCTCCAAGGGAGGAGGAACCCCTCTGGCAGTGGGAGACATGAAGCCATCAGACCCTGGAAAACATTCCTGAACTGGGGCCTAAGCTGGGAGGTGGTGGGCAGCAAAGTGAGTCAGGGCGGAGGAAAAGTACTGATCAGGAAGCCCTGCGTTTGAGGAGTGTTCCTTTTCCTTTCACTGAAGAGAAAGTGCACAGCGGGAAGACCATCTGTCAGCTTATCCCCACAGTGGAAAACGCTAGGCTGGGAAACCTGAGTCCTGGGTTTTCCTACGGCCTTTCCAGGCTATGAGCCTCACCAAGCCAGGAATGTTCTTTCTTCTCTCTCCAGGGAAGGCTAAACGGGTGGCAGACATTCACAACTCAGTATGAAAAAGGAGATCACTGGCACTTTCTTCCTGACGGCTGGATGAAGTCAGGGTTTTAATGAAGGGCAGAGGCTCAGGCAGAGGAGGTGATTCTGGAAGGCAGATTCTGTGTGAGGTGGGGCTTGTGCCCCAGGGTCCTCAGACAGCCCCACTGAGAAAGACGTTAACCTCTCCTGTTCACAGAGGGGCAGACCAAACCCCAAGAGAGGGTAGTGGCTGCCCCAAGTCCTTGAGGCCCATACACAGCAAAAGCAGGACTTAAGCCCAAGTCTTCCTTAACTCCAACACGAGGATCTTCCTTACTAATCTCACCTGCTTCTGGGCGGGCAGTCTCACCTCCATCTCTGGGACCAGGAGGAAGGAGACAGCATGGAGAGGTGAGCTGAGGGTGTGCCTCAGCTCAAGTGCAGTGCAGAACTCCCCAAGCCACTGAGGGGTGGAGGTCGCCCAGCCAGGGCTTGGAGCTTCCTCTCCAGATTTCTCACGACCCCCCCACTGCCGCCACAGCCCTGCCATGAGACGGAGAGCTCAGGATATAACAGTGCACAGCCTGGGTTTGAGTCCCCACTCTTCTCATTGACCAGCAAGTGACCTTCTAGAAGTCACTGACCCCTCTCCGCATCTCAATCTCCTTCCTCTTCTGTTGAATGGAAATGTTGACTTCAGGACGTCCCAGGACCGAGAGGCGGTCCTGGGAGGGCGCGTGTGGATGGTACTTTGTAAATAAGAGGCATTATAAAAACACAGTGTTATGACTACTCTTTTTCTCTCTGGCCTCTACGGACAGACAAAACAAAACAATCTCAGTCACTTGTAACACAGCCAAGAGGGGCTGGATTTCAAAAGGAGCCTCACTACAAACTGAGGGAACCCAAAGAGAAAACAACAACAAACACAACGGCCCCCAGCCCCCAGCCCCAAGCGCAGTCAGGCCTGGCCTCTCCTAACGCCCGGCCCCAGGCCCTGCTGGCTTGTGCCCCCTTCACACTTCCAGTCACCAATGAAGCTAATTTAGCAAACCATTCTGGGCGGAGGTCCACGTCCTTGGAAGGTCCACGTCCTGGTCTTCCACGTCCTTGGAAGTCAGCAGGGACGATATCTCGCCGCTCCTCACAGTACATGAAGATTGACCTGCTCTGGGTTTAATGCAATGCCCGACTCGCTTTCCCCTGACCTCTACCCCCCCACACCCCATGCCCCTACACATGTGTAAACACACACACACACACACACACACACACACACTCACACACTTACGTCCCAGCACACGTGTGGGGAATTCAAGCTTGCTTCCTTCCCTTAAGTGGCCTGCAAAATTATTTAGTACAACCTTAACAGAATTTTGTTGAGCAGTTTTATTCTGCCACAACCCTCTCCTGACACTCAGTTGGCCGATGACCCTGCCTACTGAGCTCTCTTGGTGGCCAACCACGGAATGACATTCCCGCTACCCGCGAGAGAATCAGCTATCCTGTGTCAGTTTATCCGGTGAGCAGAGAAGCAGAGTCACAAGTAGGACACGGACTGCCAAGTTTTGATGGCAGACTGACTTGCGGGCAGATGTGGAGGGGACACTGAAGAGAGGAAGCCAGCCTCAGTCGGGTGCTCTGGGAAGTGCAGGACGGAGGACGTGGGGAATGCTAGCGACCAGTCAGATGTCTGGAGGAGGAAAAAGGCTGGATGGGGCAACGGAAAGTTCTGCCGTGTGCGGACTGTGTGACCTTGGGCAGGTTGCTTGGCCTCTCTGAGACTCAGTTTGCTCATCTCTCAGGGAATTGTGAAGAAGTAATCAGACCATGTCTAGGCAAGGCCTTCGTAAACCGTGAAGGGCTGCATGGACGTGCTGGCGAGCGAGGGCTCTAGAGGGGCAGGGGGGATTGGGGAGGACTCTGCCCGGCCCTGACCCTGCCACAAACACATCAGGTGGCTGATGGCAGTGGCAGGCTCTGGGGCCGGGGTGGAGGTGGGGCTGTAGGCTAAGCTCCTCCCTCCCACCCCAGGAAGGGTCACTCTCTCCAACGTGTCTGAGCGGAAGGACAACATGCGTCTCGGCCTGAGCCTGGCCACCAACCCCAAGGACAACAGCTTCCTGGTAAGAGCCACCCACTCCACCCTCTCTCCAAGCCCCAGCCCCTCCTGCCCCCCCACCAGACCCCTTGGTTGGGGCCAGGAGAGGCAGGGGGTGAGGGGGCTCCTCTGAGGCGGAGCCCAAATCTGTGCTCCAGGTTCAATCAGAGAAATACCACACACCCTAAGAAGACTCTGGAGGGAAGCCATAAGTAGAAAACACAGATTTAGTACAACTGAGGGAAGAAACACAGAGTGATGGCCACCTGGAGTTAAATGGGAAGGCTTTCTGGAGGAGGTTTTCAATTTGCTTTTAAAGACAAGGCAATGGGGGCACCACGGTGGCTCAGTCGGTTGAATGTCTGACTTTGGCTCAGGTCATGATCTCACAGTTCGTGAGTTCAAGCCCCGCGTCGGGCTCTGTGCTGACAGCTCGGAGCCTGGAGCTTGCTTCAGATTCTGTGTCTCCCTCTCTCTCTGCCCCTCCCCTGCTCGCACTCTGTCTCTCTGTCTCTTGCTCTCTCTCTCTCTCTCTCAAAATTAATAAACATTTAAAAAATAGATAAAGAAGAGACAATGGGTCTTAGCAAGGAAGAAAGCAGAGGGAGAAAGTGCTGGGGACACTGGGGAGTCAGCAGTCAACAGAGCTCGTGCCCTGCTGGGGCCTAATGCTGGTCAGGGAAGAGCTGATAAGCCAGTGAGTAGTGTAAACGTGATGCTGGGGCAGAAACAGCTGCTCTCAGGTCTCTGCACCCTGCCCACGCGAGTGCATGCGCACTTTGCACGCAGTCAGCAAATGTGGGTGTAGGTATCATGGTGGGCACTGCCTACTTCCTGCCACCACGAGCTGGATGATGCTGGGGATTCAAAACAGGATCCTGCTGGGACTGATAGTTCTAGAAATGGCTGCAAGAGAGGATTTCAGAGAAAAATTACCCAGAAAGACCAATAAAATGAGCCACTCATTTTAAGATAGGAGGGCTTGTGTCACTCTTCGTTCTTGTCCAAGGCTGTCCTTGGACAGACAGACAGATGGAACGTCCAGGGTGTGGATCACCAAACACCAGGACAACGAGATGACTGGGATGCTCAGGGGCTTAAGGAGAGCACAGTAGCCCTGCCAGGGAAAGCCACGAGATGTCTCGGTGTATGGCTGGCCCACAGCCTTTCACCATCCCAGCCAAGGGCAAATAAGACCCTGGGTCCTGTCCACAGGCAGACCTGTCAGGGGCTTTGTTGCTACTCCCTTTTCCTTCTGAGGCTCCTTGTCATGCTCCTACCAAGTTGATTTCACCTGCTTCACAAGGTGGGATGCAAGCAAGCCCAAGAAGGATGGTGTGATACACCCTCTGGGGCTTCTGTGCATTGGTTAAGTCCCTGTGCATTGGTTAAGAAACCTTTTATAAAATGTTTATTTATTTATTTTGAGAGAAAAAGAGAGTGTGGGCAGGGGGAGGGGCAGAGAGAAAGGGAGAGAGAGAATCTCAAGCAGATTCCGCACTGTCTGTGCAGAGCCCAATGCGGGGCTCAGTCTCACGAACCATAAGATCATGACCTGAGCCAAAATCAAGAGTTGGATGCTCAACCAACTGAGCCACTCAGGCACCCATAAATAGCAACTTTTGTTCACTCATTCGCTCATTTATTCATCCATTCACCCTTCACTCATCAGTCCATCCCCCAACCAATTGTTTGTCTCTCTATTCATCTATTTATCCACCCATTCATTCATCCTTCCATCCATCCCTTCCTACACCCATCCATCATCTATCCACCCACTCATCCATCCATCATTTATCTACCTATCCATCCATCCATCATCCATCTATCTGATATCCATCATCCATCCACCCAGCCATCCTTCCATCCTTCCATCCATCCATCCACTCACCCATCCATCCATTACCTACCCATCTATCTATCCATTTGTCCATCATGCATCTACCTACCATCCATAATCTATCCACTATTCCTCCATCCATCATCCATTCATCCATCCATCCATCATCTATCCACCCATCCATCTATCCCTCTAGCCATCATCCATCACCCACCCTCCTATTCTTTATTCTCCCCATACTTCCGGAAATAATTACTACAGCTTCAACAAAGGACACAGGTAAAACTAAACCTTTAAAATCTGAGTACAAAAAGAAAGTTAATCAAAGAAAGAGGTTAGAAGTGGAATAATTATTTTTCCAAACCAAAGGAAATTACAGCACAAACTTTAGTCCTGCGTTTCCTGGCACAGTACAAAAATGGAGACATGGAGTTGGGCTTTCATTTGTAATGACCCTGACTCTGAGGACTTATCATTCTTTAAATCAGGAGCTGACATCAATATTTTGGGTAGCAAATTTCAGGGAAAAAAAGCAGAAACATTCTTTTTTCTTTCCCCATGAAGAGGCATGGGCATGTTATTGGGACCTGGAAGTCTTTTCAGTAAGGACGTTCAGGTGACATCTTCAGAGAGGCTCTTCTAGTGACCTTGAAGGGTCCACTCCCATGGATGATCCTGTGTGGTGGGTGGGGTGGGCAGGTAGGGAAGAGTCATAACTCTAGATGATGGAGTCGAGAATGGGACCCTTGAAAATACAACAAAGGAGGATTCCAAAATTAGTTTTTCTCTATTCCACCCGAAACCAAGGGAACTAGAACACATTATGGCAAGAAAGAATTCAGTTAGACTCCAAGAAGACTCTCTAAATCCTGGGAGTACCAATAGTCAGAGGATGCTTTGGGTCACGGAGGTTAGGCTGGGCCAAAGGCTTTTGGGCCTGGACCCTCCCAGAGACCCCTACTGACTGGGGGTCTGGACTGTGTTTCACAGGCCTGCAGCCCCCTCTGGTCTCACGAGTGTGGGAGTTCCTACTACACCACCGGGATGTGTTCACGAGTCAACTCCAACTTCAGGTTCGCCAAGACGGTGGCCCCCGCTCTCCAAAGTAAGTAGCTTCAAATCTGTAGATCCATGCAGGGTGGCTGACAGTCACGGGAGGCTCTGAGTTCTGATCACCACCACAAAGCCGCACCGGGACTCTAGCCCCGCCCTGATCCAGAACCTGCTTAGCTCCACCCTTCTCCAGAAACTGTGGCTAGCCCTGCCCTGATGCAGAACCTGCGGGTTACCCAGAGTGATGGCGGG